AGGCGCGTGGGGCGGCGGTGTACAGAGTGGTGAGGGCGGTGACTCAAAGGGCTTTTCCACCCGTGCAGCCTCCTGAGCTCGGCGCATCCCGGACCAGACTGCTTCGCGGGGACTTCCTCACCCCGTGAAATCTCTCCTAGGCCGAGCCCCCACCTGCAGGGGCAAGACTATCCAGCGAGACCCAATCCAGCTTTCGGACACCAGTGGAAGCCTTTGCCACCTCTAGTGGCCCGCCCCGGGCCCGCCCCTCCGTATGGTCCCGCCCCCATCTCACCTGAAGCAGGTGGAAGCTGGTCCCTCCCCAGCTCCGCCTCCAGGGTCAGCCTGAACAGCTACCGTCACCCAGACCGGGGCAAGCACCCTGGCAGATGGGCAGCGGGTGGACCCCGAGCACCTCCCCAGGTGGGCCTCACTTCGAAGGGTAGCTAGTGTGGCAGAGACCTCTTCAGTTTCCCCTCTACTTGAGAAAGGCCTCCCCCGCGGGCGGGGCAGCGAGTACCCTGGGACCCCAGCCCAAGACTTTGGAGGAGGAGAGCATCAGCTCCAGTCTCTTCCTGAGGAGCACCTCCCACCGGCTTTCATGGCGCCCACTTTGAACACTCAATCGCCCCAATCTTTCTCCGCTACTCCTCACCTTGAGCGGCGCCCCCAGTAGGCGGTGCAGCGCGGGTATCTGTGCGCCCAGAGGTAGCGCACCGTCTAGGCTGCAGGTGGGGGCCCGGCGGGGCTCCGGGAAGTTGGCACACGCGAAGGGGTCGGTATCTTCCAGGTACTGCACTCTCACGGTCACCACTGATACCGGATCACCGTCCCCGCGGTCTTCCCCGCCCGCCATGCCTCTGCCACCGGCTCGCACCGCGAGCCTCCGGGACCAGCCTCCGCTGAAGCTTCCACCCTACTATACTGCAGCTCTGCTGTTGGGCCGGGTCGGACCGGACGCGGCTGGAGGGGCGGGGCCAGACGGAGGCGGGGCTGAGGAAGGGGGTGGAGCCAAGACTAGTGCCTGAATACGCGCGGGGGGGGGGGGGCAGAGCCACTGCCGAAGGCGGGGCTTGCACCAGCCACTCAGATTGTCCATAGGGGATCCCGTTAGTTCACTGGCTAGGAGGGCGGGAAAACCCGAGCTTGCGCCCCGCCTTAAAGAGCGCACAAAGGGCGGGGAGGCTTTCTTTGGGCTTGGGATTGGTATGGCTGCGTTCTCTTTGAGGGGTGGTAGGGTAGGTGGGGCAGTTTCTTAGATAGTGGCCAGCCAGGTTTCCCTCAGTTTAGGGACAAGATGGCCCTAATTCCTTCCAGTTGAGGGATGACTGGATGTGTTTCTCTCATTTAGGGAAAGCAGTGAGAGGTCCCTTTCAGTTTGGAGCAAGAAGTGAGAATGGATTTCATCCAGTTTGAAGGAAGAGGTGGGATCAATTCCCTTTAGTTGTGGGAAAAAGGGACTGATGCCCTTCGGTTTTCTGGGAAAGAATGGAATGAGTCAGTTTGTGGGGGCAGATAGAACATGGTTCCTCTCATTTTGCGAGGAGAAGTGGAATGGGCCTCCCTCAGCTTGAATGAAAAGTGGAGGCGATCCTCCTCTGTTTGGGGCGAGATGCGCTGAATGCCCATCAGATTTGGGAGAAAAGTTGGGTTCTTCTTGTGTGAAGGGAATCAGTTGGCTGAGGCTTCGATAGGTTTCTTTCTGCTTCATGGAAAAGGTGAGAACTCTGTAGTTTGAGGGAAAGGGAGAACCGGTGCCCCTCGGTTTGGGAGATGAAGAGCAACAGCCTCCTCCACCTGGATAAGCTGGGCCCAGTCTGGGCCAAGGTTTCTAGGAGGTAGGGGCAGCGTTGTCCATCATGGCTTTCTGGGAGCGCTCAGTGCGCGTGCGCAGCTCGGGTCCGGGCGGGGGCCGGTAGGGGGTCCCAGGCTTGAGAGTGCCTTGCGCAAGGCGGCGGAACACTGCCCCCTGCGGTCTGTACCCGACCGCGCCGGGGTCCGTGGCCTCGGCACCAGGGGCTGGCTGTTCACCGCTGGGTGGCGCAGGCCGTGGACGAGCCGCCTCCTTCCGTCCGGCCCTTGCCCCGGGGGACTCTCGTCCCTCCTGCGGTGGGCTACCCCAGGAGGGTCGTGGCGACGCATCTCTCTCAATCCGGTGGAGGCGGTTTTGGGAAGGTTTGGGGGAGCGGACTCGAAGGAGTATGTTGGGGGACGGCTGTACTGCGGAATTTCCGGAGCCGGGACTGGTTTAGGGGGGAAGGAGAAGAGAGTCCCGACTACGGGCGTCTGGGGTAGGGTCTCGGGGCCCAGACCTGGCTTGGGGGTATTAGAGCCAGGATTGGGGGGAGCGGGCCCCACGTGC